TCATCCATTCACCCTAAAACAAACCGTTCCAAACTAAGTACAGTTCGTACACTTAGTACACATTCAAATATGAGACCCACTTTCTTACCTTTATCCCCATACCAAATTTAAAGTTTAAAAATTATTTAAAAGTTTAGTACCATTTTACAATTTTTCGTGACCTTAAAGTTCGAAATTCATAAGACCCTTTGGTACATCCATCCTGCACATCCATTAAGAAAAAATGCCTAAATGCCAAAGGGACTATTCTAAAAAATATACCGATATGATCCATTTTCTTTACAAATTTTTCTGTATGTAAGAAATATATCCCAAATTATATGAGTCTCAAATTGTATTATGTGGTCAAAACTATATAAGAGCCTTAACATCATTTGGTCAGTGACTCTCATTCCAAATTCTAGGTTCATAACACCGATAAGCCAACAGGAAGAACGATCACTAAGAAAGAAGGAGCAAGAATCGAAACTTTGCCACAAAAAAGGAATTGTTTTGAAAAATAAATGCATAAATTCAGACCGTCAGAGTCTTTCAATTAAAACAAGTGTTTTATTGAAGCCTTAGTCACCAATGCGTAAGTATCGCCTGTGTACTTGTTGTGTTGTCTAAGATTCATAGCTTTGTTGTTCGTCTTTGTGCAACAAATAATACATTTTCGGCTCTAAATCTACTCTGTACATTTAGAACCCCTACAAGTCCATACGCCTGTATCGGAACTTGTACACTGTTTTTCCAATACAAAGTATTTTAATTATACCCTCAGCCATATGGCTACAGAGGGTATATATCATTTGATACGGTCAAAACGTGCCTAGTAGAAATAACGGTTTTAGACCTTAGGTCTCTTTGGACCAAATCCGTTTCAGAACATTTGGAGTCGATCTAGCGATGTCCGTCCGTCCGTCTGTCTGTCTGGCTGGCTGGTGCGCACGACAACTCTCGAACGGAGTATCCGATTTGGTCCAAACTTGGTACATCGTAATATTTTTTTCAAACTTAGATCGAGTTCGGAGATGGGCAATATCGGTCCACTCCTACTGGTACCTCCCCCACAAAAGTTTGGAATTTGCAAAAAAAAAATTCTTTGCACAGAAAGAGAAAGGTTAATCTGATTTTGCTCCAACTTTGCAAATCCTAATATTTGCGTCAGTACTCGGTCAAAATGGACAATATCGGTCCACTCCATCAAGTACCTACCCCACAAATGGTCAAAATTTTGAATAATTACAACTCTCATAAAATGTGATGTACGAGTCCGATTGTCTTCAAATTTTACACATCCCAATATTTATATTAACCCAATGTCTGGTGTTAAGATGATCAATATCGGTCCACTCCTTCTGGTACCTCCCCCACAAAAGGCCCAAATTTGCAAAAAAAAATTATTTTTTGCACAGAAAGAGATAGGATAATGCGATTTTGCTCGAACTTTGCAAATCCCAATATTTGCATCAGTTCTACGTTAGGTGTAAAAATGGACAATATCGGTTCACTCCTTCAAGTACCTCCCCCACAAATGGTCAAAATTTTGAAGAGTTACAACTATCATAAAATGTGATGTAAGAGTCCGATTGTCTTCAAATGTCGGACATCGCAATATTTATATTAACCCAAGCTCTGGTGTTAAGATGGAGTATATCCGTCCACTCCTTCTCGTACCTCCCCCATAAATGGTCGAAATTTTCAAAAAATACATGTTTTTGCACAGAAAGAGAAATGATGATCCGATTTTGCTCCAAATTTGCTAATCGTAATATTTGCATCAGTGCTAGGTCTGGTGCGAAAATGGACAACATTGGTTCACTCCTTCAAGTACCTCCCCAACAATTGGTCAAAATTTTGAATAATTACAACTCTCATAAAATGTGATGTAAGAGTCCGATTGTCTTCAAATTTCACACATCCCAATCATTTTATTGGGATGAAGATGAAGTATATCGATCCACTTTTTCTGGTACCTCCCCCACAAATGGTCGAAATTTTAAAAATATATATTTTCTGCACAGAAATGGAAGCAGTAATCTAATTTTGAAAAACATAACGCTCAAAGATAGCAAAATAAGGATCCAACTCTCTTCAAATTTCACACATACAAGCATTTTTCCTAACACCAGATCTGTTGTGAAGATGCTATATATCTGCGAACAACTGCTGGTACCTCACCCACAAAGGGACACAATTTTCAATATTTTTATCTGTCATAAATTGCGAAACATTTCAGCGATTCTTTACAATTGATTTATCCATCTGCTATAATAATATTTATATCATATTTATTTAGGTCCGATACGAAATGAACAATATTGACCCATTCAAAACCCACTTCATAGAGGGTGAAGAGGGCTGAGGGTATACATCTGTCGGCAAAACAGACCGATACTTTTTTACTTGTTTTTAATACATTTTAGTACTTTTCGTAACCATTTAATACGAATTTCATAATCCAGCCCTATCAAACGCCTACTTACCAGGACTGACTCTCGTGGAATATTTCAGGATTCTAGCTCAGGCCGTTTGTAATTGGCGTTTTTTCACTACTCTTTTTTATATTGATTGACCACATAAATTTTAATATTTTCACACAAAATACATTTCGCCGTCTAAATATTATCCAATAACCATCCAATTCCATAAATTCTAACCCCATACAAACTTGGGTTTCGATTGGTCTATAATTGTAACTCATACAGCGAAAACAATTTCTGTTTTATGTTCAATTCATCCCAGAATCAGTAGGCTTGTGTTGTGATCCTCTCCAAAACTCCATGCAAAATTTCGTGAGGATTGCACCATAAGTGCGACCTGTAGATGAACAGACGGTCGTAGGACATACATAGCTAGATTGACTCAGCCCGTCGAGATAGGAATGTATATACACCATGTTAGGTCTAGAACCAATATTTTGAAAAAAACAAACTTATACACTCAAAACTTAAATTTTTTATAATATTTTTCAAAGTATTGAGAATCGTAAAGTTTTAGTTTTAGAAAAATAAACTAAATTTATTTGAATACTTGACACACAAGAAGCTGTGTCCATAAATGTTGTGAATATATTTAAAATACCGAACAAGTTATTTGTTCCAAAACCTATGAAAGCCTTTATTTTAAAAAAGTACATTAAGGCATTACAAGTTAAAGGGTCCAGACTGAATTCCGTTTAGTTGTCATCTAAAGACAAACACTCCACTAACATGCTAAATTGTCTTTAACCCACTACCACAATTCCATAAAAAAATTCTTAACTATTTGTTCGTCTAACATTCCATTTGATGTCGGAGGGCCCTCTGATAGTGTATCGTTTATTTCCGTTCCTGTATTTCATACATAAATCTTGCAACAAAGTATATAAAATGGCAGCAAACAAGGAAATTGTGTGTATATTTCTAAGTAAATAAACCGAAATGGCATGTAATGTATGTATATAATATTTAAATATATAAGGTATGTTATATTGGGGTGTATCACAAGAATTCGCACCTGAAACGAACGACTCAGAAAAGCCCAGGAAAAGTTCAACGATAGAATTTTAAAATTTCTGATAAGTCTTTTCAAACGAAAATGTCATATTGAGGCGTTCCGAATCCATGTCAGAATTTATATATTTTTATATTTGGCTGGAAACCAACAAGAGACTCTCGACAGCACTCCTGCATTTAAATGTGAATAAATCTTTTGTGTTTCGTACCATCGCTCGTTACCGTGATACTGGCAGCGTAGCCCGACGTCAAGGAAACCCGTGTCGCAGTGGTCGAAAAATGGCTCGTGAGCTGAACATATCGCAATATTTCATTCGGCAAATATTGAAAAATGAGCTCGGGGTAAAGTCATTGAAATTTCAAAAAGTGCAAGAACTTACACCACGGCAGAAAGAAACCAGTAAAGAAAGTCTTAAAGACGGGCGAGCCGAATTTATGATACCCTACACCACTTTGTTAATTTAGTTTAGAGCTGCGCATAACAATTAAAAGTTTTTATGGGAGAATTCAATCACACACGCTATGATTATTATTATTATAATTTAAAGTTTAAAAGACTAAATATGCCGAAGCATTTGTATCTTTTAAATTCGGACTTGTACTGTCCATTTGGTGCACAATTAATTTAAAATCGGATAAAAATATATGTGGGAGCTATATCCAAATCTGAACCGATCTCGATAAAATTTGGCAAAGGTATTTCTGAGCTGTATTTGATATATTTCCCTGAATATCGTTGTTACGGAGTGCATATTATGGCTGTGGGTAACAAATATGACAAATTGGATGAACAGTATATATGAGAGTGTAGCATATAACGTCTGTATGTATGGTTGGTGTTGTTGTTGGGTTATACACTGAATGGTATGCACGCTTTAAAGCCAGCCTTCTGCTCGCCGGAGGGGGGGTTCCAAAAATATCAATGTCCCAATGCCATTGTGCTACATGAACTATATATTATTTGCGTGCATGAAAAAGATGTTGATAAATACATAAATCTCAAAAGTGTATGTTAGGAAACGGAAGACACTACCTACGCATGCCTAGATGTTTGGAGAGAAAGATGTAGAAAGAGGAAACGGACATAAACCAAAATGTTGCAGAGCGAACTGATGTTGTGTTGCTCGACATGCCCACCCAACCTAGTTGCAACAAAACAAATTCCATTAATACAAGTCGTGTTGCAACCCTTAATTGCTACAGGAAACCTTCGCCTACATCCGAGAGATATCAAACAGATATTTTTATTCTATTATTCGCAACACATGCTTGCGCTTTTATTAATATTAAATTTGAACATGATTAACTGGTAATCTTAAGAATCAGATTAACAAAGTAAAGAAAAAAATAAAAATGAAAATATTTGACTTAATCTAACACCTTATAGTAAAATTAAATATATAAAACAAGAAACAAGATAACAAGTCTAAATTGCTTGTAAGAAAGAGTACCATTTCTTGGCATAATTTTTTTTTAAAATAAAATCACTTCTTTTACTTCAAACTCTGATCTCAAAAAAAAATTTCCCCATCAAACATTTAAAGGTCAACAAAATCACCATTTAATACTCATATCGCAGTTAAATAAGAGTATATTCACAGGCTTATACATAACTCTATACAGATTTATCAAAGAGAATAACAAAATAATTATTCGGGATTAAAGAAAGGTGGCCAAATCATATTTGAAAAAAAACGACATATTAATTTTTGATTGTATTTCCTTCATTCATAATCTTTCAATTCATTTAAATTATTAAAATGACGAATTCTAAGTAATTTCATTTCAAATATCAAATCATATGTTCACCTTTCTTTTGTATTGCTATTCTCTTTTCTTTATCGTATTCTCACCAAAAAAAAATCAAAATAAGAGGTTAATGACTTACGTGCTTTGTTGATATGCTCCCTCGTTGAAAGTACTTTCTCAGAGATGAAGTTACAGCAACAACAGCTTAATGGTGTAAATGTGCATGTAATAAGAGATGCGGATAATTCAGACGTAAGAGACTGTGATAATTGAAATTGTTGTGTCATGCATGTTGGGTCGTTGTATGTTTGACTGACATGTTGAGATCAAACAATAATCTTTAGTGGAGATTTTTATGATATCAACCGCAACGTTTGAAATCGAACATAACTGCACACACAGCACATTCAACTGACAGGTTTAATGATCATTATTAATTTTGTAATCAGGTGATAAATATGTAATTCGAGTGTGTAGCAGCTAATGTTCTATACCAAACGCCACGGAATTTACAAAATTCTTGTTTTGTTGTTTCTTTTTTTTATACTTTTGCAAAGAAGAAAAAAAAAACAAAAGAATGCAGAAAAATTAATTTAAATCAAAGAAATGAAAGTAACACTTTTTTAAAGAAAAATTAGGATTCACAATATTCACTAAATATTATAATGAAGTTTACGTTGTTTCGCTTGAGTTTTTTCTTAATATTTCGAACGTGGGAACTATTTCTTTTGCAGAATTAAATATCATTTTGTCGCCATTCCAATTTTCGGTCACATTCTAGTTTATGTATATATGTAGATTTCCGCTTGCATTTTTGCTTTAGTTTTGAGAATTTTATGATGGAAATTGCAGATTTTTGTACACGACAACGCTGTACCGTCTTTCCTTATTTTTTTCGTAGCTCTTCTCTAGCTTATTTACTCACTACTAATCGTTGCTAAATGAAACCAATGATCAAGCCTAGGTATGTTGGGACGAATTATGATGTGGAACAACAATAATGATCATAAAAAATGAGTGAGGATAAAGCACATGTGATTGCAGCACAGTTGTTCCAATTTCGGTTCTCTCCTTCCATACGAAGTTACGATAAATACCTGACAAACCAAATGATATTGCGTATTAATTTCTGAGAATACAAAATTTAGTAAAGGAAGGAATATAGACAATATCAAAAACAAATCCATTTACCTTGTTAATAGGCCAATGCGGGAAGATGGAAGCGAAGTAAAATAGATGATCAACTGAGCTTACGATTTTAATAAAAAGTATGAAATTACGATACTGCGCGAAGGTATATTCTGAGAATAAGAAAATTTTTAAGCAAAAATATATACACTTTCTTTAATATTAATTCGAATCGGCAACGGGCAGAGTACTTACAGAAAATTAAAATCTTTTTCCACAATATAAAAAAAAAAAAACTGCAATTAACCAAATTATCTACTGATAAATGACAGGGAAATTTGCACCACTTCAGAAATTTTTGTAATTGAAGGTGTTGATCGCTGGACTCTGTTACGGCAAAATGGACGATTCTTATGATTTTTGGTGAGATGAAACCTTCTTTAATCTTCCAAGCAATCATTGTTTCCAAAAACTTTAGAAAATGGCTAGCATGAAGGTGCAGAAAAACGACAAAAGGGTTGATAGAAATCTTTCGCTATTCCATTGAAACCTGTCGTATAGAGGTCGCCTATTCAAAAAAAGCAGTTGAAAAAAATTGGATTTAAAAAAAAATAAATAATAATAACGAAAGTTTTGAAATATTTTAACAAGTTGCAAGCGCCATTACAATTCCCCCCACCAAAATCAGACTTTGGGGGTAAGGATATTTACAACCAAAGCTGATAACGCTTGCATAAAGAACTATTGCCGTATATCCTTGGTATGATAAATACCGACGAGATTACCACGGAGATCCTCTAGTTCATAAGTAGAGTTACCAAGTTTTCGACGAACTCGGGCCTTTATAAAATTTGGAGCCAATTTGGAATTATATCCCTGTGCAAAATTGCTTTGCTTAAAATTCCGGCGAAATACTTCTTGGCCTACAACATATGATACCTCTTTGGATCGCAGATTATAGGCTTTCTCATTTCTCTGGAATTGTTTCTGGATAAGATTTCTAGCTCTATTCCCCATTATGGCTAGAGAGTCATTTTTATTAAATCTTACTGTTCTATCTTCCAACATGTTTAATTGTCTCAAAAGCGGATACGTCGAACCATTGGTTATCATATGCTGGCCGAAAACAAGATAATAAGGAGTGGTTCCTATTGAAGAGTGGATTGAGGATCTGAGGGCACAGCATATATTGCTCAACATTTGGTCCCAAGTCTTCTGGTCTGGAGTTACATACGATTTTATTGCTGCCAGAACAGAGCGATTCACACGTTCTGAGGCATTAGCCTGAGGAGAATGTGTTGCAGTAAATAAATGATTAACACCGAAGCGCCGAAGAAAGCTACCAAACTGATTGGATTTGAATTGGGATCCATTGTCCGATACTATCGTCTCTGGTACGCCATATGTATAAAATAACTCATTCTCTAAGTAGTCTACTACAATATCTGAAGAAAACTTCTTCACTGCCTTTAAAAATGGAAATTTCGTAAAGTGATCCAATACCACAAATATACCTATATTACCCGCTTTAGATCTTGGATATGGACCTAAAAAATCAATATATAACTTCTGAAAGAATCGGTGGGTCTCTGACGTCTTACCCATTGGTGTCCGTATGGGTTGGTTTGGGTGTTTGGATGTCTTACAAATTTCGCAGTTGTTGACGTAATTTCTTACGTCAACCACCATATTTGGCCAAAAGTAAAATTTTCTTAGGGTATATAATGTTTTGTTAATTCCTCCATGAGCAGATAAGGGGTTGTCATGTGCCCTTTTCAATACATCAGGGATCATTTCCTCTGGAATCCACAATTTCCATGATAGATCATCTTGCACCTGATCCCCTGTTGCGTGCTCCGTGCGTCTATACAGAAACCCATCTACTATTCTCAAATCGGGCATCTTATCCAAACTTTTCCCCACTTTTACCAAAAGTTGTTTATAAGAATCCGACTTAAAACATTCCGAGCTAAGATCCACGAAAACACCACTTGATAACTGAGAACTTAAAGAGCTATCTACCTCAAAAATTTGACCTAGTTCCGACAAGTCCTCAGTGTTAGTCCTAGAAAGTGCATCTGGGACCACGTTCTGACAACCACGCCTATGTTGAATTGAGAATTTATACCCTTGAAGCTTCAAGGCCCATCGAGCTAGCCGCGTGCTGAGGTCTGTTTGGGACATGAGCCACTTCAATGACGCATGGTCAGTGATGACAGTAAACTCATGTCCTTCCACATACGCTCTGAATTTTTTAATGCTCAGCATTGCTGCCAAGCATTCCTGTTCGGTCACCGAATAGTTTCGTTGGGCTTGATTGAGTTTCTTTGACATAAATGCTATAGGAAACTCTTCACCCTCCGAATCTCTCTGGACCAGTACACCTCCTATTCCAGTTTTACTAGCGTCACAGTGTATGAAAAACGGCTGTGAGAAATCTGGGCTATGTAAAACTGGCGCGGTACTCAGACAGGTTTTTAAAGCTTCAAATGATTTCTGAGCTTCCTCATTCCAAATAAACTTTCTTTTGGTTTTAGTCAAATCGGTAAGAGGCGTGGCTATCGACGCGTAGTCCCTGATGAATTTCCTATACCAACCCGTCATGCCTAGGAATCGCCTTACTTGTTTAACAGACTTGGGCGTTGGAAAATCTGATATAGCGGAAACTTTATCCGGATCTGTTCTTATTACACCGCCACCAACCAGGTGACCCAGATACCTAACTTCTGAAACACAGAAGTTGCTCTTCTCCACATTAATAGTTAAGCCGGACTCCTTAATTTTGCCTGCAACGAGCCTTAGAACGTCCAAATGCCTTTCAAAAGATTCCGAAACAATCAACAAATCGTCGAGATAAACGAACACCTCTGTCCTGAGAGCCGGTGGTATGACCTTGTCCATCAAACGTGACATCGTCTGAGGCGCATTACAAAGGCCGAAAGGCATGACCGTGTAATGGTACAACGGCCTCCCAGGAACAGTAAATGCAGTTTTCTCTCTCGATTGTTGATCCAACGGAATCTGCCAAAAGGCATCCTTCAGATCCAAGGCCGTTATAAATTCAGCTTTCGGCAAACGACTTAGAATGCCATCAATGTGGGGCAGAGGATATGCATCCCCAACAGTCACGGAATTTAACTTCCTGCTGTCTAGACAGAGTCTGTTTTTCCCCGGTTTTCTATGAAGAACCACAGGTGACGACCACGGACTATTGGATTCCTCAATGACCCCGAGTTCAAGCATCCTGTCTAATTCTGCGTATATTAGCTTCTCCACAGCGGGAGACACTGGAAAATGCCTCTGTTTAATTGGTTTGGCGGATCCTGTGTCTATGACATGATTTATAACATGGGTTTTACCTAAACCTTGCTTGGAAAATGATGGAAACAAGCTAACAATTCTATCTAATTGCAGTCTCTGTTTATCTGACAACTGAACTTGTGGAGCCATTTCGGAAATAAATGACGAATTGTCTGAAATATAGTCATTCAGGACCAAACCATGAGGAAGAAGATCAAAAAGATTCCAAAAGTCTACTCCCAAAAAGAGGTCTCTATCTAAGCTTGGAATAATAAAAATCGTAATATTCCTTTCTGATCCCTTAAATATTATCTTTGTATCTACGCATCCAACAATGTCTTGATTCTTTCCATCCGCTGTTCTAACAAAGGAACTTATCTTTTTATAAGGTTTACCTGAATCTAGATAGTTTCTAGCAGCTGTAGCCCCTATGCAACTCAGAGAGGCACCGGTATCCATTAAGCCTAGCATTGTTTGACCAAAAAGAATGACTTCAGCATACGGCCGGATATCGGAGGGTTTGTCCAATACAGAGCACATGAATTTTCTATTAAAACTCTTTATATTCCTCCAAAATTCTCGAATTCTCTTGGCCGATCTAGATGGTGCACTTTTCTTGTTGAAAATCCTATCCCTGGCTTCATAGTATTCCTTTATACGAATATGCAAAGGCTTAAATTTAAGGATCGAATCGGTCGTATCGCATTCGGGAGTAATCTTTGTAAATTTGTTGTCACATTTGGGTGTAGGGTTGGTTTCTGGTCTTTTTAGAATATTTATTCTGAATCCGGTTTCCTTTTCGGTGCACTTGCCAGCGCACCCGATCGGGAGTTTTTTGGATTGCACTTCTTACAAGATGGCTTGTAAGTGTCTGGAGTTCCGCATCCGTAACAAAAAATAGTCCTATCTGATAGACAATCTTGGTATCGATGCCCTATCTGGCGGCAATTCCAACAACTAAGGCTAATCGATGCAACATGATCATTTTCAGTACTTGATGATTCCATGTCATCTTCGACCAAAACTTCTTCCAGTCCATAAACTTTCTTTGTCATAAGAGATGGTTTCGATAAACCACTGGAATGTTTCCGGCGGATATCCTGAAGGAAAAACTCTCGTCTCCTACATATGTCTCTAAGCTCCTGAATAGAAGTTATACGTATGTTCAATATTTCGTGTTGTATTTCCGGCAAAAGATTTCGCCGTAAAATTTCGACCAACATATCGTTTGATAGAGATTCTTTTAATCTGTCAGTCAATTCCACTACAGAGTCATAGAAGCTATCAAAGCTTTCGCCTTGCTTCTGCTTTCGGTCCCGGATCAATTCCCTTATGTCAACATCGGAACGGGAATCGCTAAACTGCTGTTTTAATGCCATACACAAATCATTCCACGAAACCCTGGAAACTGATCTGTGATATCGCCAAAACCAGTCAGCAGCCTTACCTTCAAAAAGGGAACTAGCATTTCGACAGAGTAAATCAAAATCCCCTTGAAGTGTTTGTACTGTCAGGGCCTTCACTCTATATATAAAATTCTCTACCGTCAAACCATTCGGACTCCCTGAGAATTTTATCCTCCAATTGGACATAATATTTAAAACTTTATCAGGTCTTGATGACAAATCCGATGACGAAGAGTGACTAGACGCAGAAGGTCCACAACGGCTAACGTTTAAATTTACATTACTCTGAGAGTGATTGTGGGATAAACCTAACATTTCACGGAAAGTTTGTTCCTCAACTGCAGGCAAAGTATGCATTTGCCTCTGTGGAGTGTTATGAGTATTCGGTTGTGGAACAACACCTGTAGAAATACTCGCACCGTTTTGACTGAGTCCCTCCAATTTAGACTCAATACTATTCTGGACAATTCGCGATATTTGATCTCCTAAGCTAGCTAATAACTGTTCTTGCTGCGCAAACACAATAGATCTAACCATCTCCTGAAGTTCGCTAGGACGCATGCTCACATCATTGCCAGCGGCATCCCCACTTGGACGTACATTTGCAGCAGTACTGGGCTGCTCAATACTAGATTTATTACTTGTTAGCTGAGCTGATGTGGATCTGGATTGAGATCTAGTACTAATCCCCGATGTACTAGGGGTAGAGGGTTCATTAAACAACCTGGCATTACAGATGGGGCAATAGGGTCTAATTTTCTCACATTTCGATAGACACGCCTTATGAAAG